CAGCCCCCAGCACCCCTGCTGGTGCCACCCCTGTTGAAACTGCAGAAACACACCATTACTTTTTTAAGTGCAATCCTGAATAATGCTCTAATATACACATCAATAAAACAATATCGTCTATTTTGTGAATACTTACCTGGATAACCGACTAATTGCCATTGTTCCCAAAACAGAACACCCCTTTGGAAAAAAATGGAACAGTCCGACCCAAGGCGCCACGTGTGAACCGTCTCCCTAACAAACGTCCTCATTCTCTTTTCGACGTTGTTCGAAGTCGGATACATCTAGCCTTTGAAAATAACTAGCAGGACTTTCCAAGCAACTCTGTTCTCCTTGGATTTATTTTTGCTTTGGATTTATTTTTGCCTTGGATTTATTTTCAACTTGTGGTTGAAAAAAAAACCAATAAAACAATATCTTTTGCTCCTAGGGGAAAAGGTGATTATTTCCGCCTTGGTCATGGAACCGATGCGCATGTACGCAAGCCTCAGATTGTGGAAAGTCTCAAAGGAAAGAAGATTGTGCACGTAGCTGTCGGTGCACTGCACTGCTTAGCTGTTACCGATACAGGACAGGTGCGTAGAATGTGCACTCATTGTTTATATGGACAAGGCTAAAATTTTGTAAATACTTGATAAGTCAAATATTGCCATTGATGCTCCACTAGATCACCCCTAAAAAAATATAGAACCATCCATTTATGTTTACCACCATGTGTGTGTCCTCATTTGTATTTCACTCATTATTGAGAGGGGCTATTTCTATGGTATTCACCCTCTCAACATGGCTAACTAATATCTAAATATTTTTCTTATATTAGGTTTTTGCTTGGGGAGACAATGACCATGGACAGCAGGGTAACGGTACCACCACTGTCAATAAGAAGACTGCCCTCGTGCAGGGGTTGGAAGGCGTTCGTATAACGCGTGTTGCTTGTGGATCGTCCCACAGTGTAGCCTGGTCAACAACAGATGCCTCTGTGCCCCTAATGCATGAACCTGTCCTGTTTAGTACACCGAGAGATCCTCTGGGGGCTTCAGAATTAGGTAAGTCTATTTTGTGAACTTACCCGGGAAAAATAATGGTATCGTCTAACCCAGGCTCCACTGTTAATAATCAAACACTACAACGAAAGGACAAGGCTTTGTTCTCAAACTCATCTCTTCGTTTTTACTAATTCTTTTTACTATACTCGCTCACAGCAAAAGGAAATATGAGGCTTCTTACATAAACGTAGATGTGTTATACATGCCTGGGTTAGACTATTCCATTAGTTTTCACGGGTAAGGAATCTGGCTTATAAATATTGGTTCATCCAGGTAAGTATCTGTCTCATAGACCAACAACATACACTTCTGATTTGTTTGGTTTAGATGTTTTTTAACACATATACTTAAATTGATTACCAACCTAATTAGTTTTTGAGTATCCACCTGGATAAACAGATATATACCAGATTTCTTTGTGGAACCTATCCTTCGAGCACAATGGAAAATAATTTGAAAATAATTAAAACAAGAAAGTTCAAAATTCCCTGTATGTTTGTAGATGAGATTAGTGAATCTTTTTATTCTATTGTGTTAGGAGCAATATTATTTGTGTTTTAATTTGCAAGAAAATATATTTTCATTACTGTATTATACAATGCAACTAATCTGTTTGTCTTTCTTAAAGGAGTTTCTACTGAGCTTGGACATCCATCTAGTCCTGATGGTCAAGTACCGTCCAACTTAGGCAAGCATCGCCCCTCCCTGGCTAAGATCATCCTATCCTTGGACAGCAATGCCGCCAAGCAGCAGGCATTGAACTACATCCTGACAGCCTTACAGATCACATATGCCAGGTCAGTGATCTGCAATCATGAATACATTGCCAAAGTTTTTGAGTTCTATTAACTAGAACAGCCCTCGAAAATAATGGAATCATCTGTCCCAGTATGAGGGCAACAGCACATGTGATTTTTTTCTTTGAATGAACACCTCACAAAGAATGTAGCAGTGTCCAACCAGAAGCACCACATGACTGTTACAGTGCCCATAATGCTTGTCTCCATACCTTTCTCAGCTGTTGTAACCACCAATCATCTTTGATTCTTCAATTTTAGAGATGCTGTAGTTGGCTCGCTCTTGTCTGGCTCTGCTGCCGTGATTGCAGATGCACAGTCTTTATGCGGGTCATTGAGTCCTGCTGATAGCCTGGTGTCGACCTCTACCGTACCACTTGAACTACCGGAGCTCCTGCTCACTGGCAGTGATTCCACCGCAGTTCTTGAGGTAAGATACAGTTAACAATAGACTCAATATTAAAAGCCTCTTCAATTTTTTTTTTTCATATAATTCAATTTTATTGAAATTTATATGCTTCATAGTTAATTTCACAATATTGTATACCATGATTATTAATTGATCCAGGTCATTAGCTATTGTCATCATTGTCATTTTTGTTTTAGGAGCTTGAAGAGAATGAAAGTCATAGTCATGCTGCCGGAGGTCACAGTTCACATTCAGAGGTCAAGAAATCTACAACAAACCTTGTTGCAGAAACTATCACAAGTGCAGAAGAAGTAAATTATCAGGATTTTGTTTACCCATGTATAGTTTCATTAGTAAAGGGTCACTAGAAACCATAGTGGATTAATGCCCTACCTCCATGTTGCATAGCCTGGTTTTGGCTTGGTATGCTGGTCACCAGGACCTCACTGGAATAATGTCCCTACCAATGTTCCATAGTTCATTTGAGTTCCTTTATATTAAAAGAAAAATAATTTTGAGAATAATAAATATTTACTGAATATTAATGAATTCCCTTTAATGGATGTTTAAAATATATTGTATCGTGTTTGCAGCATAATATATGCCATAGTATATGGTTTTAGTTTGACAGTATAATGTACATCGCCCTCAGGTGACAAGTCCCGGGGAGCAAGATGCTCGCGCAGCTGCTCCTGGCCTTGATGACTTCACGAGTCAGCTTGTGCCGCAGGACGCACGTTTACTGGTCAACATTCTTAAGCTGGCTGTGGCAAACCGCGCTGGAGAGTGGACAAAGCAAGCAGTTGCTGATGTGTTGGCAGCAATGGCCAATGCCTACCCATTGGTAAGAAACTTGTTATGTAAATGATTATGTAAATTCAAATTTGAATATGTCAGTATAGTATAGTGTGCCCTCTATTGTATGATATAAAGATTTTAATTACTATGTCTTTTAAAAGATATTGTGACAACTCATTCACATACTGTATTCTCTTCTAATGTTCTACTCATAAGTTGTTAAATTTATTCTAATGAAATTTTGAAATTTTTATCCACAAAATAATGAATGAAATAGTAGTATGTAAATATTCATTATTTTAAATTATGTGGTTGAATAACATTTCTTTTCAAACTTTTTTTGGCTTTTTTTTTCATTTAAGGTGGCTGAAATGTTATTGGAATTATGTGTAACGGAGTTAGAAGATGTTGCATGCGATACTGAAACAGGCCGCCTAGCTATTCAACCAGTGGTACAAGAAAGCCACCACCCATATGCAGACGACACCACAACCACAGGTCACGTTAAAATACCAGGTAATGTCCTCATACACCACAGTATTTAATGTACTTGTATTAAACATTGAATGTCATCATGCTAAGTGTCTCTTATAACATATGAATTTTGATTAATGGATGGAATGATTGATTGATTGATTGATCTTTCTACAGGAGCTGAAGCTCTACGTGTTGAATTTGACCGCCAGTGCTCAACAGAAAGAAGGCACGACCCGTTGACCATCATGGATGGTGCTGGACGTACAGTGTCCACTAGATCAGGTATACTTTGGCTACATGAAGATGAAACCTTGTTGAAAATATTATAAACAAAATGTATATTTTAACATCTGTAACTCGAACTTGCCTATTTTTAATGTTGGATTTGGAGTGTGCCCTCAACAATAATCATATGTATTATAATTTTCCAACTTTGTATTGGTTTTTGTGAGAACACATCTCAGATACAAGATTCCGGTCTAAAAAATATGTTTTTAACTATTGCTTATTTATTGGAATTATACACTCCCCTGGATTTTGTCAGTCGCAATTAATGTCTGACTTTATGGTCTTTTTTTGTGCAGGTCGTGAATGGAACGATTGGTCTCCAGAGCTACGCATCGTTGGTGATGACTTGAAGTGGAAGTTCACGACGGATGGCTCTGTGAATGGATGGGGCTGGCGGTTCACGGTGTTTCCTATCATGCCTGCCGCTGCACCTAAGCATTTGCTGTCTGATCGACGCGTCCTTTCACAGCCGTCCATTGAACTGGTGCAGTGTCTACTGGACTTTCATCTGGAAGAGAATGCTGGCAATCAGATTATATACCGACTAGCTGCTGCCCTCGCAGCCTGCGGACAACTCAGCTCACTTGGTATGACTTTATTTTTGCTTCCTGAAGTGTGATATACTGGTAGCTTGGCGGTTTAGATGTTTGCCTTTCAATCCCACGGTCATGGGTTTCAAATCATGTGACAGCACAGGATTTTTTCTCACGACTAAAAGAACATCTTTACAACCTAGGTCTCTTAATGAGACTTAGTTTATGAAGCGTCTTACTGTACTTATTATTTTAATTTCATTTAGTTTAGAGGTCCCCTGCATATCAGCCAAGCTGGAAAGGTCACCTTCTATATATATAGTAAAAAAAAAAATACGCTATCATACTGCTTAAAACTTTTATTTCCAAAATTTTCATGGTCTATTTCGTGAATACTTACCTGGATAAACCGATAAATGCCTAAGTTTCCTTTGGAACTTACCTCTCGAGTTTAAACGAAAAATAATGGACTCGCCCTAACTCGCCTATATACCCCATGCGTGAATGAACTATATCCTCGTTGACTTCTAGCTTTTGTCTATTATAGGTGTGTGAAAGCTTACCAGAAGATTTCATTAATTCTATTGTTAAATAACAATGAGAGATTAAGTTTCCCATAGCCATGTACACGTGAAAGCCTGTTTGTTCTGTGTGTTTTGGGCCTAGGCCTAACTCACGCAATGATAAGCATGCTGCTTGCCCAGCGTGCCGCTCTTCCGTCCAGGGTGCGCTGCCGTGCTCCTTAAAACTTTGCTTTCCAAAATTGTTACAATTTAAATGTGCATAGAAATATAAATACTCTAAGGAGTCAATGTATACATAGTTTATTCATCGTAAAGTTTTGTTATATATGAGATGATTTTAAGTTGGTCTTGTGTTATTGTTCAGGAGCTAATCAAAGGATGTGGGCATTGCAACGGTTGAGGAAGTTGATAGCGTCTGAGTTTGGAACCACTCTGAATGTGGACACCATATTAGGACACCATGTCACAGACGACGTAGCTGGCGCTTACAATGTTAGTAACCAAAACACAAATTTAAACTCACAGTTAATTTTATGTTTATCTGTGGTTAAATTTCTATAAAAAACTGTTTTATATTTTTGTCTCAGCACATATTTTAATTGTCTAAATATGGAGTTTTCACAAGCTTACAATGTTAGTAACCAAAGTGCAAATTTAAACTCACTGTTAATTCTATGTTTATCTGTGGTTAAATTTCTATACAAAACTGTTTTCTATTTTTGTCTCAGCACATATTTTAATTGTCTAAATAGGGAGTTTTTGCACGATGTTAGTAACCAAAGTGCAAATTTAAACTCACAGTTAATTCTATGTTTATCTGGTTTTAAATTTCTATACAAAACTGTTTTCTATTTTTGTCTCAGCACATATTTTAATATTCTAAATAGGGAGTTTTCGCAAGCTCACAATGTTAGTAACTAAAGTACAAATTTAAACTCACTGTTAATTCTATGTTTATCTGTGGTTAAATTATTATACAGAACTGTTTTCTATTTTTGTCTCAGCACATATTTTAATTGTCTAAATAGGGATTTTTCACAAGCTTACAATGTTAGTAACTAAAGTACAAATTTAAACTCATAGAGAGTTTTTGCAAGCTTATGAAAACAATAACAAATATAGTTACATCATCAAATTTATAGACAACACTTAACCATACAGTAAGTAGCATATCTTTCACAAGGTAGGCAATTCATGTGTTTTGCATGAATCAGTGATCATATTCAGCTCATACAGCATATTGTCAATAATGTTTCTGGCATGAATGACGATAATCATGATGTCATATTCATTATCTTTTTCGTAAGGTTGCGAAATCTCCTTAATGACTGCATTTTGACTAAAATGAATGTTTTTCTTGTTGCGTTTGTATGTTATGCTGGGTCGTAAAGAGTAAGAATGGTAGGAACATTTCCTGGTACTGATTTACCTCTGCTTAAATGACAATAAAATAAAACCCTAAGCATGTCTAAAAGATTGTATGTTCATTATTTTTTCTAGGCTTTTAGTGGAACAGCTCTTGCAGCCCTAGTGAAAGGCCTTCCTGATGCCCTTCATAGACAGTATGACTATGAAGATCCTATAACCAGAGGAGGTAAACACTTACTACATAGTCCATTCTTTAAGGTAAGTCTATTTTAGTCTGTTGAATAATTGACTTTAAAACAAACAATATACCTGCTGTACTTTTGTACATGTTCAAAGTTTACTGTCTATTTTGTGAAAGCGTATCGTGTTATAGATGTAGCGTGTGGGAGTGGTGATGCTCAGACCCTGTGCTTGACTGATGATGATTGCGTCTGGTCTTGGGGTGATGGGGACTATGGCAAACTAGGCCGTGGTGGCAGTGATGGGTGCAAGACACCACAGAAGGTTGAAGGATTATTGCGCTTAGGCGTGTGTAAAGTAGAATGCGGCTCACAGTTTTCTGTAGCCCTTACAAAGGCTGGAGCTGTACATACCTGGTAAATATTAATATGATTATCATTATCATCATCATCTTCATCATTTTATTAATCTTCATCACCAACTTAATCATTATTCTCATCATTTAGATATTGATTTATTGAATGATTCATTTTTTTTTCAGGGGAAAAGGAGATTATCATCGTTTGGGTCATGGAACTGATGAGCATGTGAGGCGCCCTCGTAAGGTTGCTGCATTACAGGGCAAGAAAGTGATTGCCATAGCAACTGGATCGCTGCATTGTGTTGCTTGTACAGACAAAGGTAGCACTGATTCTCATTCATATTTTGCAGTATTATTTTTGTTTATTAATATCTCTTCGTACAAACACTGGTACAATACTAAAGCAATATCTCTAAATGTCATGTTTATTATCTCATAATTTTTGTTGTAATAAGTTATTTGTTGATACAAATTTTCGTGATGCAGGTGAAGTATTTACATGGGGTGACAATGACGAAGGTCAGCTTGGTGACAGCACCACCAATGCGATTCAGAGACCACGACTTGTGTCGGCATTACAAGGTATTGTAATAATTACTGATTCCAATAACCGGAGTAATTTTTGGAAACACTTTTCACTTTGACAGCCTGTGAAGAATGTTGTATATCAACATCATCATTATCAATTTTGTAACCATAATCATCATCATCATCATCATCATCATCATCATCATCATCATCATCATCATCATCACCATTTTTGTTAACATTAACACCAATGCTTGTTTATATATTATTCAGTTTTATCCATTTGTAATTCAACTGTTGAAATGCTACATATATTTCTATATAAATCTTGAGGTAACTTTAATTTATTTTATAGGGAAGAAAATGACAAATGTAGCATGTGGATCGGCCCACACCATTGCCTGGTCTACAAGCAAGCCAGTCAATGCTGGAAAGATGCCCTCCGTTGTACCCATGGAATACAACCTACTAAAAGACATTGACATTGTTGTACTGCGCAACCGACTCGTCCTGCTTTACCACTTCTCTGAACTCTTCTGCCCTTCAATATCCATGTTTGATTTGCATAGTAAGCTAAAAGCTGGCCCTAGTGTTAACTGTGACTCTTTTGACATGATTGGTATTGACTCACTCAGAGGACTATTGGTCTCGTCTGGAAAGGTAAGTCAATACTCTTTGAGGAGCTTAGTCAGGTCTATGCCAGATTTTGTGTAACCTTACCTGGATAAATATTGACATTTTTCTTAACACCCCTTAAAAATAATAAAATCATCCTTCCTAGCACACTCACTTTTAAACACTTATTATTGTGTTCTTTGTGGTTGCAGGAAGCAGCCTTCCGTAAGGTAGTTCAGGCAACGATGATGAGAGATCGACAGCATGGTCTCGTAATCGAGCTGAACAGAATCCAAGTGAAGCGGTCTAGGAGTAAAGGAGGCCTAGCAGGTCCTGATGGCTGCAAGTCAGTGTTTGGTCAGATGTGTAGCAAACTCAGTCAGTTTGGACCTGAAAGTTTACTGCTGCCTCATCGTGTGTGGAAAGTCAAGTTCATAGGTTAGTCAAAAAACATAGGCTATTGTTACACCAGTGTTAAACCAATTCATATTTTTCTGATTGGATGTTATTGTATGTATGGATTTGTTTAGGGTAATAACATCCAATTGAATTAAGAATTGATTTAACACTAGTGTAATAATAGCCACTGCCTAAAATAAGCTTACCTACATATATGCAAGCATTGACAGACCGACCTACACAGACATTTGTCACATAACCCCTGTTCACACTAAGAATATCATAGATATTTGTCACATAAACTTATAGTGTGAACAGACCTTAATTTGATACTCATCTTTTTTTCATAATCTTTGGCAGGCGAAAGTGTAGATGACTGTGGTGGAGGTTACAGCGAGTCTATAGCTGAGATGTGCGATGAATTGCAGAATGGCTCGGTACCATTGTTGATTATTACTCCGAACGGTCGAGATGAACTAGGTGCTAATAGAGACTGCTTCCTTCTAAACCCCATGTGTAAATCTGCAATCCATCAGAATATGTTTCGCTTCTTTGGTTAGTACATTTTTTTTTTTATTGTGTAATTGATATTGAAACTCAATAATGTTTAATCAGACTTGACGAAGTAGAGCGTTGTCAGGCTCTCAACAAACATAGAAAGGTAAGTAATTACAGTGGTGGATTCAGGAAGTGGCAAAAGAAAGCTCACCTCTGCGAGAGATTAAAATGGCTAAAACTCAGTTGATACCAGGAGATATGGTCCCCTAAATTAAGTAACGAAACACACATAGCTGCCCACCTTCACCACAGGACCGGCACCCTCTTGGACCATAGGTACACTCGTGTCCCCTCCCTAGCAAACAAATCTGAACTGAGTGTACACCTGTCCAACACCTGTCCAGATTATCACACTTTATTTGACAAAAATGTGACATGCCTAAATATAGTCATGATGACATCACATCATGACCATATATAGGCACATCATGTCTATATATGGCCATACAACAGTTTTTTGTCAAAGAAAATTTGATAGTCTGGACAGAGCTTAAGACAAAATCTGAGAGACACATATCTTTTAGTGTACAGTGTAGTTATTTGTTGCGTGTTTGTAATATTGCAGGTGTTTTGATGGGAATTGCTATTCGTACTGGTAGCCCATTAAGCATATCCTTAGCTGAGCCTGTATGGAAGCAGCTAGCTGGCATGGCCCTCACTGTCGCAGATCTTACGGAACTAGACAAGGATTATGTACCAGGTAAAAACTGATACACTTAATTTGATGAACAAACTATTTCTGTTGTTTCTTCAACTAGAACACCCCTAAAAAATAATGGCATTGCCTATTACCTGTCTCTTATACACATCTAGATGTGTATAAGAGACAGGTAGTTCAGGCAACACAAATTTTGCAGTCATGATTTTGTTACAAGTAAATTACATAAACTTTTTAAGTTGTGTATGTATTTTTAATTTGTAGATTACATGAGTTTGATGAGCAAGTACAGTGGGTGAGGGAGGGTATGGCAAGAGTTGTTCCTGTCCCACTGCTATCTCTGTTCACCGGCTTCGAGCTAGAAACAATGGTAATGTATATACTTTTATTGTCTTTTAACTTTGTGATTTGCATCTGCAAAATTTAAAACATAGATTATTTACATTTTTTTACGTAATTCTGTAACACTTTAATAATAATAATAGTGTAATTTTAACTTTGTGATTTGCATCTGCAAAATTTAAAACATAGATTATTTACATTTTTTTACGTAATTCTGTAACACTTTAATAATAATAATAGTGTAATTTTATATAGCGCACATATCCATCTAATGTAAGATGCTCAGGGGGCTTGATATGTGGACTAGGAACTCGATCAATGACTTTCTTTGCCCTAAGGGTCTCTTTGTGTCTGTGCTACCCGGTAACCCGGTACCAACAACTCTCATTGTCCACCACAGGGGCTGTCTGTTCCAGTACACCAGGGTATCACCCTACTAGTCTCGAAGAATGTACTGGGTTCTTTATAGTGCACATGAGCCATTGTATACACTGGGCCTACGGTTTATAGTCCTTATCCGAGAAGACTTATTCTACCACCAGAAATATATTGGCGAGCGTGCCATTCGGTGCACCTGCTAACCGCTCGGCCATTCGACTCACCTCAATTGATATAGTTATTATTCATAAATTAGTCATGGTAATTGGTAAACAAAACAAAAATGGTGTCAACCTGACAGATTCCTAAAGATGTATCTGTAGAATAGAAAAAAATAATCTTTGTAGTCAAGCAGCTACAGCTTAGAGCAGCTGCAGCGCGGAGCAGCAGCACGGAGCTAGGAACAGCTGCTATTTAGCAGCAGCTGCTAGAGATCCTTTGGTGCATAACTGGTTAAACTTATTGACTGTTCAATATTGATTTGATTGTTATTATTCTGACAGGTATGTGGTAGTCCAGACATTCCGCTTCACCTCCTCAAGTCTGTCGCTACGTACAAAGGCATTGATGGTTCCTCACCATTGGTCCATTGGTTCTGGGAGGTCATGGAAGAGTTCACCAACAACGAGAGGTCGCTGTTCCTGCGGTTTGTCTGGGGGAGAACGCGGTTACCAAGAACCATTGCAGATTTTCGTGGTCGTGATTTTGTTCTACAGGTTTGAATACTTTTTATCTTCTTTGATGACTTCTACTGTTCGTAAATGATCAAAGAAACACTTCTCTCTAAATTTAAGCTGAACTAAATGTAGAGTGGGGGGCGCTGTCCCCAATGAAAAAATGTGGGCTTAGTTGGGACGTCGCACAAAATCTCTCGAATGTGTCCCAGGGGTCGAAGCCCCCAAAATGTATGACAATTTAGGTTTCAAAGGCTTACAGTATTTAATCGGTTTTGGGGTCTACTAATATGTAAAAAATACATATACATTTTTGGCTCTGGTTCCACCCCTGAAGTAGGCCTAGCTCAGTTGTTGCAGTGCATGGAAATGTTGCTAGCTGTGTTGTGCTGCAGTAGCCTTATATTTAGGGCTAATGAAATTTATTGCAATTTGTATTTATGTGTGTAGAACTGTTTTATCGATAAAGAAACCAAGTACAATCAATGTAAACCTACTTTGAGCTTTCACCGATTTTCTACAGCTATAAAAAGCAAACCAGATGAAAGTATTAAGCTTTAAAAATCGTTATTATTATTATTATTTATTATTATTCAAATATTTTTTGTAGTTATATCTTTGAAATTTCTCAGCTTACCTTCATCTATAACTTCTTCTACAGGTACTTGATAAATACAACCCTCCTGATCATTTCATGCCGGAATCGTACACTTGTTTCTTCTTGCTCAAAATGCCTCGTTATTCCTGTAAAGTCATCCTGCGAGAAAAACTGAAATACGCCATTCACTTCTGCAAGTCCATCGACACAGATGATTATGCCAGGATCGCACTGAGCGGTGATCCTGTCGGAGATGTATCTTGCGACGACACCGATGAATGTGATTTGGACTTAGTGGACATCGAGACGTCTGATGCCTCGGAAGTTGATAGCTTTTAAAGTGTGATGATTGTTTCATGTGCAATAGTGGAACTGTTTTTAGAGACCGCAATTGTTTTGTAGTTTCATAAACAGCTATAAATGCATTAATTTAACCACTGACAATTTACTGATCAAAGTATATGTTTATTTTAATGTCATATTTTTTATATAAAGATGTGCTTGATAATTGTGCAATGTTCAGTTGTTTGCACAGCAATAGAACATGTTGACCAGTGGGTAGCTGAAAGCTTTCTGTATGTCCACAGTTTGTTATCTATATGTCCCCAGTTGGCTATGCATAGGCACATGATTCACAGTACCAATAGTACCACAATTTTCTATTTATAGGTCCACAGTTTGAATATACTTTATAATTTCACAGTTGTACTTTAAATATTATTAAAATATTATAAGGATAATATAATATTATATAATTATCATAAAAGGAGTTCAAGTATTATGATAAATTTGTAACAGGATTGAACGATAGGATTTTCTTCCAATGGTTTATCAGTGCACAGTTGGCTGATTATAGGTCCATGTTGGAAAATTTAATTGTGGGTAATTATTTCTACTTAATTCCTGATCTCTAGTATGTGAAGAGAATGGTGCAAACTATATATATCTGAATTTTCTTCATCATTTTTATTAGTATTTTTATTCTCCAAATGGATTTATATAAGATATCTTTGTGGATAACATTGTTACTTTGTACATAACCAACTGAAGTTAACTTGTGTAAGTTATTTAACCTGTATAAATGAAGAGAGAAGTAAATTTGGTTTGTATCTGTGTTGCATATGTGAAAGGTAAGTTTTAATTTAATTGTATTATATAAGTGAATGACACATTATGAATTTAGTGAATAATGTGTAATAAGAATACAGTACAGTAATAGTAATGTTATATTTGTATAGTGCATTATGCTATGGTTTCTATGCGCTTTATATGAACAGAAAAGAAAAAAAAAATAGCAAATACTTTTGTTTTGATGAATGTTGATAAACATACTAGTATGTGTGTAAATAAATAAAACATTAATACCATTAAAAATGATCAAATATAAGCTTGTGTGTGTTTACATATAACTTTTTGCTATATAGTTTGTAACCTGATTATGTATCATTAAACGTGTAGACTCGTCATATGAATGAGATACTTATTACTGTAGTATATCATACATGCCACAAATACACATACAAATTATATTACATAAATTAGCTGATGATTATTTATTTATTGAATTTCAATTTATTGAAAGTATGCATTCTAAATCATAAAGAATTTATTTTTGTTGCTATGTACACAGTGTAATATTCCGTACTTGTTTAGTATTCAGAAAGTCTGATATATAATTATGATTGTTGTTTTTATTTACAATAATAAAAAAATGTTCATGGTTGTTTATAGGTACATAATTGGCTATCTATTTGTCCATATATGGAGTTTTTTTTTCTCACATTAACAACTTGTGTAAGGTGTGAAAGACTATTAATAGTATTGTTTTTTATTGTTGTTATTATTATTTTTTTATTGGCAATATTTGAATAGATAAATTAGATATTGAATTTGTTCTTCCAAATAGTGTTTTAAGGTAAAAAATGCTGGCATAGAAAAATGGCAAGTATTCACTTGGTATGTGTATATTTTCGAAGTGTCTCGTCATTGTAGATAATTATCTTTATAAAGTATTGTATTAATATTAAAACTATAATTTGCTAACGCATTGTGTAATAATTGATTACTGCCTGAATATGTTTATGACAGGCTATCTCTCCGCATAATTTTGTTATCTCCTGAAATACTGAAACGGAAATTAGAAAAAGACTACAATATCAAAGATTACGAAATTAAATTTATCATCATCATCGTCGTTATTCATGATGATAGACCGTTGGTTGCTTGTTCAGTTTTTATTAAACTTAACACAGTACAATGCAAACATTAATTGGTGTTAAATAAGTAAGTTAAAACTTAAAAAGATTAATATACAGTAAATAACAAAATAACTAAAATAAATAAAAACAGCCTATTGTTTCATCTTGTTTGTAGGTAAAAAAAAAATGTTTAGCGCTGTCTAGGTTGTGTATATCATGTCATGTTTTCTTTATTTGGGGAAGATTTGCTAAATAAAGATATGGAAAATTAAGCTAGTGATCGTTGTTCGATTTTTTGTTATGTGAAGTAGTAGTAATTCGAAGGTATAATACATCCATGGTAGAATAATGTGTTACAAAATGTATCGCCAACGTCAATGGGCAGACTCTATTCTAGAGGGCGCCATTGACTGCCTCGGATATGAGAGAGAGAGACGACAGAGCAGACACACAACATTGCAGCACGGTTTTTCGAGAGTGAAGGAGTATAATTTCAACAAAGGGTGTCTCTTGTTATCTTCTTTGTGATGGTGATAGGCTAGGAATATTTATTCCTACAATAGAGATAAGAAGAAATAATGAAGCTTAAGGTTCCATGTTGTCGTGTATAGGCCTATACTCGTTTGACTTGTTTTTTTATAATTAAATTTTACGGAGATATAATACCTGGCAGATGGTCTAGAGCGGTTCCAGCAGCAGCCGATCGAGACGATCATTTTCCGTGGAGTGAGTGACGGCGAAGACACTGTCATTATCTTGGAATGATCTGAAAGAGAGGGAGCACCTCAGGCGCCTGAAGTTAAATATCTACTGCGAAAATCAGTGTATAACCTTTTGGATATACCTTACTAGTCCTGGACATACTAATTAATAATGGCAGACTTTGCTCGACTTGATGGTAGGATAATATTTTTTTAATACTTTTTGTCATAAAATTGTGCCAACCCTCTGTTCTTCTGTTTTATAATTATTAATTAATAATATTAGCCTAGGCCCGCCGGGCCTATTTATTGGGCTTTCATTGTATGCTCTGGCCTCATTTTTGTTTTGTTCTGTACCACATTATTTTAATTTATTTATGCTGAGCTGTGGTTTAGTATAAAAAAACAAATTGAGAATCATTTATTTATGTAGTTTTGTATTGGTATTATAGGGCTAGGGCTAGCCTACACCGACTTATTATTTAAATGAGCAATCTAATTTAGTAAATGAATTATTAAATGACTTCATCTGCTTTGTAGAATTTGAATGAAATACAGTATCATTTAGCCTAGGCCTACACTATAATTTATTTAGTCTAGCTAGTCCTAGGCCTACATACATGGTGTTTGTATTGTAATCGTTTGTCTACACATCAGTACTAGGCCCTATGTTGTCTTTTTTGTCATTTGATATTAATAATTATCTGTCAGATTATTTGTAGTGGTGATGTATTGTCCCCTTCTTTTTGTTTACAGTTCTTTCAAAGACATAATTTGCGACTTTTTAATCTATTAATCTTGTTTTGTAACAATGAATTGTATATAATAGTGTAGACTGTAGAACTACTGTACTGTAGTGCAGAAAACATCATCTTAGGCCAAATAAAAAAAAAAACATGTTTCCTTTACTCTGTATTATTTAAACTGTATACATTTAATGTTTTTTTTTTTTTGTATCTTTACCTTTAACCTTCCTGCATGATGCAAATTGAAGTTAATTTTTGATACTTATGTGTTGAATTTCATGTGCTGAATTTTATATAATATACTGTAGGCCTCAGTGTGCAGCAAGACCCATGCATAAGCCCCGCAGCGGCTACGGACGCAGTTTGCCTTGAAGGTATATCAAAGCAATTGCTGCTTTCTTTCAGTGTTCTGTTAGTCATGATCAAAGAAAATTCCATTCACAACATCTGTAACAATATCCATTTATTACAGATAAAATAACACATTTTCGTAATTTTTATCAAATTTTATTGTATTCTTAATGTATGTTGTGAGTACCACAAATTATCCAGTTGATGGGCTAATTATAAGGGCATTCTTTCAACATTTCACAAGTGTACAAACAGTAGGCTAGGGGGAAGGGGTGGACAAATTTGTACACTTTTACAGCATTCAAAGTAACATGTGATATGTACAATAATGGTAAAATTATATTAATGTAACCATGGATATAATATTCATTTTAAGCAACCAAGTACAACATTGCTTTAATTGACTTCACAAAAAAAATCAACATTTTTTTGTACACTTTCAGAGGTGAAGGGGGTGGGGTACCAAAAAGAGTACTGTTTGCACTCTTGTGAAAGTGTTGATTTGTGAAAGTGTTGATATGTGAACGACCCTTAAATAAACTTGTCATATGTCATAATTTTCTACATATACCAAAAATATTGGTGATTTTTTAAGTATAAAAATGTGATGTGGGGGAAAGTATTAATTCAGATGGTGTAAAAATAAACAAAAATATATAAATTTATGTTTTTGTTTTAATATTTTAAAATTCATTATTTTAGAGGTTGCTTAATTGCTCAGATCTTGCATACTGTATCATTGATCTACTGCAGAGTAGCATACACATTTATAATATATGATTTAATATCATTATTTAAAACCAGAAAATAAGTATGAAAATCAGTATTCAAATATGAGCATTTATTGAAAACAAATTGTTCTTTTATATCATTTTTAAAAATTCATAAATTTAATTTAAATATGTTAATTGCACTGAGTTGACATATTGATCTACAGTAACATTCAAATTTATAATATGATTTAATAATATCATTATTTCAAACCAGAAAATAAGTATAAATGTCAGTATTCAAATATGAGCATTTATTTAATTTAAAACAAGTTGTTCTCTTTCATCATTTGTGAAAAAGGTATCAATTTAATTAAAAAATATAATTGTACTTAGTTGACAATAATTGATCTAGCATTCACATAATAATATGATTTAATATTATTATTTTAAACCCAAAAAAGGTATAAAAATTAGTCTGCAAATATGAGTATTTATTTAAATTTTAAAACAGATTGTTCTTAGTTTTATCATTTTAACAAATGCATTAATTTAAAAATTAATTTAATTAAAGTAAATTGCACTGAGTTTAAATATGATTGATCCAGCATTCACATTAATAATATAATTTAGATATTATGTCAAAAAATATGTATAACAATTAATCTGCTTAAATAAATATAAGCATATAAAACAATTTTTTCTTTGATATCATTTAAAAAAAATTAATCAAGTTTAAACATTATTGTTAATTAAATTAATTGCACCGAGTTTACATATAATTGATCTAGAATTCACAAGTATAAAAATTACTCTGCTTTAAAGTGCCTCTGCCACCTATTCTGACAATTTTTATAAACTACAGCGTGTTTATATTTATAAATATATTATAAACACAAGTGTTGGTCATAAATTACGAATAAAATTGATTTTGTACGAAAAAAATGAGTTTAAAGTGTCATTTTTGAAAGACCTTAGAAACAACGAGGTCACTCAATAACGTCATTGGTGACCGACTTTGCCAAACTTCATCCAAGCGCGAAATCAAAACAAACACTGCGACGGTGGCCTAGTGGAGGAAGAAAAGCCCCAACTTCTACCCTAGGCTGTTAGTATATTAGTTTCCC